ACTCTACTATTCTATGATTCTATGACATTACAATAATAATTGGAAATCCTCAAATAACCCAAATAACTCTTAGCAAAGCCTGGCCATTTTAAAACAGTCCTAAAGAGTAGGGCACGAAAATCAGTACATGCAGCTTAAGTATGATGGCCAGATGCCAACATTCTACCCACCACGTAGACAGAAGAGAATCTCCAGTATGCTTTATAGGTGTATAACATTGTAGAAGAAGAGACATCCTTTTAAAACCCCTTGAGGGGAAGAGCTGTATCACCTGATTGGCAAGCAGATAATCCCCAGTTCATTTGCTGGCATCTCCAGATAGGGCTGTCATTCTGTATAGATGGCCCCATGTCCTTCATCTGAATAAGGCAACTTACTATCTTCCTAAAATAAAGGCTATCATACATGTCACCAAATTATTTGATTATGGTATAAGTTCAAGAAATCCACCTTGTTTTTGATATATTTTGAATTTTTCATCAACAATGGCAAGCAGCCATGTTGGTTATTAATCCACCTCTATATATTAAGCTTTCCTTGGTTTTACCATCAGGAATCTTGTGGACTTCTACAGCTTCACACTCTTCCCTTTTCCTTGTCCTTTGTGTGAGGACAAAACCCAGCAATGTCAAACAGATATGGAGCTTGTCTACACATGGCTGTTAATCTGCAGTAACTACTTTCAGTTTGGTCACAGAACTGAGATCTTGGTTAGCATTACACAAGAGTATTTCATTGCCTCTTTTTCCTCAGTGTAACTTCTTGGTGGTACTGTGGCATAGCAGAATGGCACAAATAACAAATGAAAAAGCATTTTCCTTTCACTTTTGCAGTTTCCTTTTTATTATTTCTATTTGTATGCCACTACAATATCCCTTATCTGGGCTGTCTGCGCAGCTTACAGTATAAAAACAAGACAATATTCTAAAATCGGTTCTACTAAATGAACATATTTGAAGCAGTTTAACAACATAACCCAAATGTAAAACATTAAAATATGAAATTAAAATATAAAACATTAATAAGGCAATTTAAAGTAAAATCAACTAAAACCAAAAATAGGGTCAATTTAAAACCAAAGAAAATTAAAATTCACCATTAAAATAGCTGGAGAAAAAAAGTGCCTGGCACTAAATGTTAGCATCACTGGCTCCAGGAGCACCTCTCTGAGGAGCCTGTTCCAGAACTGGTACACAATTAAATGCTGAGTTTTCCCTGCTCTAAAAAAAAAAAAAAAACCCTCATGCAAAGTACCTCTTAGACACAGAAGCAAAAATGGAAGGTCACTGTAATATCTAAAGAAACAATCAGCATGGAATAATGAGTGGATGATAAATGACTGATAGAGAAAATTCTGCTCTGGAGGTTTTTTTAGTTGCAATTTGAGAAATGAGATGGTACAAAAAAGCCCAAGAAGTCTGAGGTATACTCAGAAGTTAGTTTGAAAACCAATAAACAGGTCCAGATCACAAAGGGCAATAGAAAGATTATACATAAACAAGGAACAGGAAAAGGAGACTTAGAGGAAGAGAAAAAGAAAGTAGATTAGATCACAGCACAGAAAACTTGTCTGGTGAAAGTAAATATTTTAGTTGCATTGCAATTGTTTACATGTCTACTCAAAAGTAAGCCCTTAGTGGTGCCAGATATCAACTACGTAGGTATGGAATTGTCTTAGAATTATACTAGAATAAATTTTTAAGCCAAGGTTTAAATATAAGTGATAGCTAATGTGGTGTAGGACAAGAAAGAAAGGGAGGCTTAGGTTTTTAATGAGAACAAATACCTTTTGGATATAACTGCCAAATCTCATCTGCAGGCACCTATTGGAAAGTTCATGATACTCCACCCTTTATGTGAATCATTACTTATGATGTAGTTTCCCTATGAAAACCCAACGAGCAAACCATTTTTATAGCTCACAAAATATAAACACAGAACGAGAGTGGAAGGGTGTGGGGAGGAAGTACAATTTTGGCATGTGAAAGATGTAATTAAAACAGGAATTGTGTCAGACAATTTTACAATTTCCCTTTGTTGCTGTCCACCCAGGCAATCAGCAGCGTCTGAGCCCTCTCTATTCCTTCATATCTTTGCATTAAGCATCAATGACATTATTGTCTTGATTGGCCAGATGATAATAATGGAAGATGGCATTGCCTTTCAGAGGACACCTCTTTGCTCCTCAATATTGCTATGAAGTACTCTGAAAAGGTAGCGTCTGAATTTAAATGCAGAGTTCAGAAGCATGTTCAATTGTGCCTTATTCTTCTAGGACTGAATGATTTCCATTGTTGGTGAGCTGTTTTAACTGTATGCACCCAGAAGATAGAAAGCCCAGGGGAAAGATTAAGCAACTGAACCATCCTATTAGACGTATTTGTTTGTAATATTGATGGGAGAGTGGAAGCAAGAACAGAAGAACAACACAATGCATTTTCTAAGGCAAGGCACATTTGTGACTGATCGAGTAACACACATGCACAAACACACAAATGAACACACGAATGCACACCCTAACTGGCTGCAATCTTACCCCACTTTCAGGCAAAAGTGCACATCCTCTGAAGCTCAGTCTCTCTGTACTATGCTCCAAGTGGGGACGTGACTATGTTTTAGAAGATAACGAAATGGAAGACAGATTTTTAAAAGGTAGAATAGCTAAACTAATTTCACAAGCATGTTAAAATTACTGACTGCCATGATAAGATAAATATGAAGAGTCAGCCATTTCGAAACTTGACAGTCTATGCATTGACATAGAATTAGTGTTGCAAGCAACCAGATGAATCATCTGGTCCGAAGAGTTGTTGTGTTGGGTACTCCTTCCTAAATGAGAAAACAGATAACACAGACTGTTTAAACCCCACAATAGCACAGATCTAATGATGCCACAGATGAGCATTCTGAGGGCCACTTTCTTTGAAAAAGTGTGGAATCCTTTAGCAAAAGCAGCACATTCAGATGAAATGGAAGCTGCATCCTGATAACAGTGGAAAAAATATTCAGCTGATATTCAAGTCAGACATGGGTGTGTTGAGAGATGTCTCTTGTGCAGTGGTGAGGAGTGGGGACTGCAGGGAGCAGCGGTGGCTACTAATCCTTCCCCTGTGGCCATGGCTTTAGGACACGAGGTGGCATTGTGGGTTAAACTGCTGAGGCACTGGATTTGCCGATCAGAAAGCCAGCATTTCGAATCTGCTGCTTGTCCCAGCTCCTGCCCACCCAGCAATTCAAAAGCTCATAAAAGCGCGAGCAGATAAATGGGTACCCTCCTCAGTGGGGAGCAAGAGACCTGCATGGAAGTGAGAAGACCAGCCCACATCAGGGCTGCAGCAGAGTGGTGGAGAAAGACCCTGGAAGACGCCGACACTCCCGCAGACTAACGGTAGCTGTTCTGAGTGCGGACTAGCACACCCCCTGTGGTGCAGCGTGAATAGCGCACAGATGTGAACTGAAGAGCTAGCAATCTTAGGCATCCAAACTACTCTGCAGCAGCACTGTAGACTTCCTGGCTAATTATACCAATGCCACACAAAATAAATAAATAACTGCTTTGTGAAAGGCTACCTGAAAAAGTGACCAAATGGCAGCAGAGTGGAGCAAGGACTACCTCTCTCACTCACCATCACACTTTGACTGAAATGCAGAATCCCTTTCAGTCCAGGGGCCACCTTCCATTTGGAAATGTTGAGGGTGCATTCTGCTGGTGGATGAGGCCAAAGGCAAAAGGGGCAGGCCCAATTATACCCAAATTTCCAGCATAGCTTACCGTATTTTTCCGTGTATAAGATGATACTTTTTCCTAAAAACATTTACCTAAAAATGGAGAGGCATCTTATATGCGGGGGGCCAAGAGGAGAACTGTGGGCATGCTTGGGGGAGGAGGGGAGACTGGCGCAATCGCGGGTGCGCTTGTGGGGAGGAGACTGGCGCGATTGCATGAGGGTGCGTGGGGTGACGGGGCGGCACACGCTCGGGGGCGGCAAGGCGCGCGGGGGGGGGCGGTGAAGCAGCGCCTGGGTGGGCGGCGGTGAGGCGGCACACACAGCAGCAGCTTGCTTGCCCGGAGATCAGTAGAAAAAGTGGGGGGCGTCCTATTCATGGGGGGGGGGTCTTATAGACAGAAAAATACAGTTGCTCAAACCTTCTACTGCTTTAAGCTTAAGGAAAGACATTCCAAATTTTTGTGTGGGAAGACCCCCCCGAACAAAATCTGGAAACCCCCCCCCAATAATGGTTGGCTGTGAGAAAGGGGGTGGGTCCAGAAGAAGGGCTGTGGGCTTGTGGGGAAGCACAGAGGGCCAGGCTGGGAATGTGGGAAGGCTGGGCATGGCCCTCGGGCCTGAGGTTCTGTGCCCCTGTTCTCTGACCCCGAGGGAGATTGCAAGGTGCTGCTGCAGTAACTGGGGTGCTCGCCTTTCTGCTGTGGCTCAGAGGGAGAGGGTGGAAAGTTGGTGGCACCGTGGCAGAGGAGATGGTGGCCATTTTGCCCCAAGAGCTTGCAATCCCTGAGTCAGTGATGCACCTAAAGAGGGTTTTAAAAAATGTTTTGAAATGTGGCTGAATTGATTTGGATTTGGGTACTCAGGTGCCATGAGACAAGTACCACCTGTGGCCTGGCATTAGCAGCACTGCCCTAAATATATAAATAAATGTGAAGAAGCAATGCTGCACTGCTTGGCGAAAGGGGAAGAGCCAAATCACCACATTCATTGCTTTGTTATAGACCTTAACCTATGAGAACGTTACAAGGGTTTCAATTTCAAAATAATTGTTCATTATCTGCTTACAGGGCTGTTTTTAAAACTGTAACAACTCTAATCTAGGTCCTGTCCAGACATGACCTCAGCATTTTCCAAAGATATGGCACTCTGAGCAAGACAGTGAATAGAAGGGAAATTCCTAAAGATTTGCACTGGCCTAGAGAACCATCTCGATTTTGATTTTAAAAATCCATAGGCTTAATATTATGATGTTAAGGAACAGGATAACTCTACCAAATGGTTTCTTCCAGGGTTCAGATAAGACAGATGCCATCATCAGAATCTTGAAAGCCAAAAACTTTATGCAGCAACAAGCCTGTTAAGAAAGAGCAGACAAAATGAACCATACTTTAACAGCCCAACTCTGAGTGGGATACATAAGGTACACACCTATGACCACAAGAAGAGAGCTTTGTGAGTTTAGATCCCCATAGAAATAGCTGCATGCTACATTAGCTAACCCCAGGGTTCTCCACCAAGCACAGAGGTTTGTACCCGGTCAGTTCAGGTTTGTGATTGTGGCCTTGCAAACAGGATATCCCACAGTCCTCTATTGTATGGTTTAAACGGCTGTGAATTATTATTATTATTATTATTATTATTATTATTATTATTATTATTATAACATTTCTATGCCGCCCCTTGCCGAAGCCTCGGGGCGGCTTACAACACAATATGACCCAGCGAGCCTTGCCTATCAAGTGGTATAGAAATGTAATAAATAAATACTTTTGTGGCATGATGCGAAAAGGGAGCATTCTCAGTTTTCATTTTAAAATAAAAAGCCCCCTTTGGGCATTGCTGTGCCATTCACTTTTTTGCCTCCCGCACAGCAACAACAGTGGCAACGGGGGCCGCGGCTCACCTCTTGCCCATTCCTGGGCAATGACAGAGCTGAGCTAGATGAACCAAAGACCTCACGCAGTACACGGCATCGTCCTGCTTGCTCATCTCATAAAGAGTGCCCCCTCCACTTATTTTTGGTGTTCTCCATGTCTGTTCCACCGTTCAGCATAAGGCTGAAATGACACAAGAACCAGAAAATCAGCCAAACTGAACAACCCACATCAGAACAAATATGCAATCCAACAGCAACAACTAGCAGGGTAACTATTTGTTTATCTACAGAGGCCCAATTCCAGAATCTCACTTGAGATTTGAACACACAGTCTTGGTCCACCAAATCATATCTTCAGATCTATGAGCTTCTGCAAGGCTTTAGAACTTCGGCGTGTCTAAGCCTGCCCATATGGCTTGCTGGTGCTGTAGGAGGGGGTGTGGGTGCAGCGCTGCTTCCAGATGAGAGGGTTTCTTTTTATTCATCACTGAGATAAGAACTTTTAGCACAGGCATTAAATCAAGGGGCCGGGGCAGCTGCCTTGACTGAAATGTCAGTGTGAAATCCGGTATGGCCTCATCTGGTTCTGTCCTATGGTCTAATCTTGTTCCATCCTGTATGTTAAGAAGTCAGAAGGATTCGGTACATATTAAGTATGTAGATGACAAGCATACACTCACATTGCAATAACCAGTTTTCATTCGCTTGGGGTCAGCTTCTTCTTAGAACATACATGTGCACACTGGATCTCAGCTATGTTGCATGTTCATTATGGACTGAACCACGTTACATACAAATAGATGTCTATTTGTTACATACAAATAGATTATCTATTTATCTATTTTTAAAGGCCTGGTTTAAGAGAAATATGGATTAGAAATGTTATTATAAGTAATGAAATAAATGTGATTTGGAACAGAATAGCATCTTTATCCAGCTCCGCTTTGCCTCTTCAGTTTTCTGAATCAGGCCTGTTTCACAACCAGGAAATTCCGAATGTGCTCAAAACCCTGCCGTCGAGCATTCATTCCATAAGTTTGCATGTGTGCAGTGAGGTTTGCCGTGAGCTGCCTGCATCTTATATGCCATTCGCTCTCACTGCAGATTCTTTCAGTGTACCATGTCCTGCTGGGGAAAGGCAGCTTATTCAATTTTGACACTATCAATCTGTGCTGGACTTGAACCAGCAACCTTAGGAATGAAAAGTTCATATCAGCACATGGCGAAGGAAGCAAAGAAAAAGACAAATAGCATCTGCCAATATGCTGAAGAGTACAGCATTTTTTCAAGCACTCAAGCAATGTGTTTTGGCAACTACTCTATGCACTGATTATGCAATGTGGAAGGATTAAGCAAGCTGGCATACGGTTGCTTTGATTCTTGTGAGTGCCTGTGTCTTTAATCCTGGACGGTCTATTTATAAGACCTGAACATAGTTTAATCATAAATGGGGGTGGGGTGGGTTTCTCTTGTTTGGACAGAAAATAGGGAATCTATAAAGGCTGTACACCAGCAGCTGGAACCATATTTTGAACATTCCCCATGCTTTGGTTATCCTCAAATGAATATTTCTGATTCAAATCTGGGATATATTTCACCAGGTAAAAGCAGACTATCCATTATTCTGTGTTTTGGAGGGAGATGAAAAACACTGTTACTTGTATATTGACTGAGTCAAAACTGAGTCAAAACTGAGTCAAATCTTGCTCTAAAAGAGATCCACATGCTGACTAAAAAAACTTAAACATTCATAATGCCCATCACAACCCCTTGCATGCTAAACTGGGGGATCCACAGATAAAGGGGTTCTGCTCCCATGGCACAAACTCATCTTCTACATCTTGAAGTCAACAAGCACAACAGTGGGGGAAGCCAGCATGATGGTCCCTCCTGCCACTCCTCATGTGTGGGGATGCTTTTAGGGCTCCAAATATGGCAATTCAGCATGCATGCTTATTAATTACTCACAGATTACTGAAAACACTCTATTACAAATACCCAACCTCTTCCAGTAGTGCCATGTAATTGCTAAGCAGCAGAGGTCACAGGATGGAACCTTGCAAGTATCCTGAAAGCCAGAGGCCACAGTGCAGAACAGCCGTCTCTCAGCACCTCTTCTTTGAGATCTCCTGCACATGGAGACCCAGCACCACTGCAAGGCTACTCCATAACCTGTCCCAGCAGCATACATACAGGAGAATCAACAGGGTGATGCTCCCTGTATCCATATCCTGATACTGTTTACTAGAATCACCAAAGCAGCCTTTGTCCCAAAACTAGCTTGAATTCCAAATGGAAAAGGATCAGACAGAGAAGGATGATGCAGTAGCTGGGTCACCAGAATTTGCTTCTGTCTGATACCTTCATTTATTTGCAAATGTAGTAGAGCCAAAGTGCTCTTGTTCTGATTATGCATGGAAGCTCAGCAGATATGGGCAGGTTCTGACATCTGCAGATAGGTTTTGTGGGATAATATTGATTCCCAGAGGAAAATACTGAAAACACTTCTTTGTAACGATTCAGAAGTATATGCATACGATATAATCATCCACATAGCTTGTTCACAGATGAGTCCATCAGATGAGGTTAATTTTGCATGACAAATATAAAAATGGTACGTGGAGGCAGGGAAGTAACCAGATTGGACAAATTCATGGAGGACAAGGCTATCCAGGGCTACCAGTCTTGATGACTGTATGCTGCCTTCACTATCAGAGTATGCCTATGTGCCTCAGCTGCTGGGAAACTTGGGCAGGTGGCTCTTGTTTCACTAAAGTCCTTCTTGTGGGTTCTTGTAGGTGGTTGGTTGGCCAATGTGTGGACAGAATGCTGGACTAGAGAGACCCTTGCTCTGATCCAGAATAGCTTTTCCAATGTCCTTGCATCTGGTGCAGGTGAATGATTGAGACTGCTCATTCATATCTATTCACTTTCTGCTTGCTGTTTTGATACATTGATTAACAAATAGAATAACATTTAACCCAACACACGATAAAAGCTTTTCGATGTGGCACAGGATTGAAAGCCATGTTGTTTCAACTTTAAATTTGGTTGTTACATAGTGAAATTTGAAGCAGAGTTTAATTATGTTTATTCATCTTAGGCCTTATTTTAAGACCAGCTAAAAAACATAAAAGGAACCCAGACTCTAGTAATAGATTGGTTTTAACTTTTAAATAAAAGCACATTTAAGAACCTTACCATGAAGTGCTATCTTTTAAAATTTCAACCATATGATTAGGATGTATGAAAAATTATTTTCAATTCAGATTTGATCAGAATTTACCCCCTCCTCTTTTTCTGGTCCAAACAAAAAACTCTGATATGCGACCTGTGGTTGAACGCCATGCATTGTGAGTTGCAATGTGATTCATGAGCCTTCTGCCTGCTCCACCCGCCACAGCAATTCCTGTACCTTGAAAATTGCATATGGAAATTGCATATTTTTGAAAAGTGCACACAAACACACTTTAAGCAATGGGAGAAGAATGTGTGTTCTTCAGCCATGCACACAAATGGAAAAAATGCATGAAAAGTTGCAGAAATATTTTTGTAAAAATATTGCGATGCTTGTAAAAACCTTGCATCTGATACGTGCCAGAGATGGAACAGGCATTGAGGTGGAATTTGGAGAACTTTGGTGAACACAAATTTTGCTGATTGGTACATCTCTACTTACCATGAGCTCAGCAGAAAGTTTAATAATGAGCACAACCCTCATTGTACAAATAACCCTCACTTTTCACCAGACTTACTCCCATATGCAGGTGTATTGGCATGCAGGTTTAGAAGCACAAACTTTATTCAGCACCAATGGCCTTATAACAGTCTCCGAAAAAAAAGGAGGACCGCACAGCTTGCCTAGCTAATGCTTGAAAGGAGAAGGAACTGTGTAGGTCTCTCATTCGTTTACATGGCAGATAAGCAGAGTAGATGGAGCTGCTACTCACAGCTCACTCTTCTCTCAGCAAGCATATATAATTCTTTCAGTCTTGGAAGAGGGCACACAGGCCTTTCTTTCTGAAAATGAAGAGCATCGTAGGCTGCTGAGTCCCACAAGCAGGCAAACTGAACGCTTCCATCACAAACTTTAATGAGACATAAGAGGGAAAAATATGCAATTTCTTCCACTGGAAAGCCGGCACAGTAAGTAGTGAAGAACACTGGCAATACTAGGAATTGGTTGTAGCATTTTATTATCCACGTTAAATTAAACTACATCCAAAGACACCTTCAAAGTCCTTTCTGTTCCTTTGAAGGCAGATAAGAAGCATCTTGCCTTTTTTAATATTTAATTTTACTTCTTCAGCAGAACCCGAAAATAAATCCAGCCCACAGGCTTGACAATGGCTGTGAAACCCAAACTCCAGTCTGCTTGAGGCAGTTCACCATGCGGCACCCAGGCTTCTGAAGCTCACGGCTGTGCGTGCGTTGCTCAGCGTGCCCACATGACACAGCAGTGACTAAGCCCGGCAGTG